TAAATGGTTGTTAGTTTTTTCAAAAAGAAGAGTCATAGGTCAAATGAGACTTTAATCTCCTTTGCTATTTTGTTAGATATTTCAGGAATATTAGGCTTTAGCGTAGCAGCACAAATACAGGAGATTTTGCTGGGTCTGGGTGGATGGAAAATTTGGAAATATTGCCTCGCACAGGTAGTTTGTGTTCCCAGCTATCTAAGGGTATGTGGGGACCTCTGGTGGCTTAGTCGGTTTTTCCATCATCAATAACTGCATGCTGAATCCCAGGGCAGGAGCCCAGGCAGAGTAGTGGGTTATGCGTCAGGTTGCTAACTGCAACAGCAGTAGTTTGAAACCACCGAGTTTCTCTGAGGAAGAAAAATGAGACTCTCTATTCCCATACAACGTGACAGCCTCCCATGAAGACTTCAGCCCAAAGAGGCGGTTGTTCTATTGTGAGCTATAGGGTTGGTCCAGGTTGGAATGCACTCAGTGGCAGGGAATTGGCTTTCTTGTGGTTTGATTGGTAACGTTGTTGTTATGTGCCCTCGAATCGGTTCTGACCCACAGCAACCCTGTGCATAACAGAAGGAAACACTGCCCAGCCCCGCACCAGCCTCGCCACTGTTCCTGTGCCCGAGCCCGTTGTCACAGCCTCTGTGCCCATCCTTAGCCACATCTTCCTCTTTTTTCCTGCCCCGCCACTCTACCAAGCGTGATGTCCTTTTCCTGGGACTGGTCTCTCCTGACATGATGTGTAATGGGGTGGGGATGGGGGGCTCAAAAAGTTCATGAAAAAATGGAATTAAAGGATAATGAAATCTTTCCATGAACTTTCTGAAGCCCCCTCATAGAAAACCAAGACACAGGGAAGGATGTTCAGAGATCAGCTAGTCAAAGGTTCCCATTCGGCAGCAAAGGAGATTGAGATGCAGAGCATTTAAAGGACTTTTCCAGGGTCTCAGGGCGGCACCGCGGCAGAAGGCCAGGCCTGGTGTTCTCTGGACAACATGACACAGCCCTCTTGGAAAGGACATCTCTAACAGGTGACAACTAAAGTGGCATCAATCCATTAGTCCACATTCCCTGTCAACTGGAGAACAACTTCGGCGTTCACACACTCCTCTGTCCCCATATTTCCCCTAGTCTTCCCACGTCCCATCTCTGAGCTCCTAGCCTGGTCCTCATGGGTTTTCGTCCCCCAGCCCCAAAGCTGCGGCTCAGGACTGATAAAGCCCCTAATATAGTGTGCCTAGAACACACAGCTGCCTAGTGGATCGCAGTTATGACTGGCCACTTACCTCCCTGTAGTCCTTGGTCTTTCTGCCCCGAGGCATGGAGAGCATTCGCAGTTGGCACTTTAAGTGCAGTGCGTGGCACATAGTAGGTACCTACGCTCTGTTTGTTGAATGGAATTGAGCCTCAATTTTTAAAATTTTTAAAATTGAACCTCAATTTTTAAAAAAAATTTAAATGGTGGAGGGGTAATGAAATAGAATGATGCATATACAGCACCTAGGAAGCGACCTAGTTCCTAGTTATCATGAAATAAATAACAGGAACTGGAGAAATTGGAGCTCTGGGGGTGCTGTGGTGAAGGTGCTCAGCTGCTAACTGAGGGATTAGTGGGAGAGAGCTGCGGTGTCCCGTCTCCGTCAAGCTTGCAGCTTTTGAACCCAATGGGGCAGAACTGACGCGGCAGCAATGGGTGTGTTTTCTCATTGGAGAAATCAGATGCAAAGCCAGGTCAGTGTCACTAAATGGGATTTGTAGAGGCTTGACCTGTTGTGTTGTGCATAATTGCAACAACAGCAAAAGAAAGTTATAAACAACAACAACCCCAAAACAATAAAGCCAAGCTTGGTAAAAAGCAAAAGCTAGAAAGCCAATGCTAAGGGTCCAAAATGGCAGAAAATAAATGTCTCAGAATAAGTGGTTAACACTGGGGAAGACAGAGAAGACAAACCATAAAAAGACCGACTGACCTCCCCCACGCCCCCAGGAACACCACCAATTTCCAGAAACGGAGGTAGGTGGAAGGGAGTGGAGAGGGCAGTTCTGAAACAAAGGTCTAAGAAGTTAGTGCTCTACAACGTCCAGAATTCCCTGACACACGTGGACGCACTTCATCCAATAACCCAGGCAAGCTGGGTCTCTTCGCGGAGCTCAGGAAACAGTTGCGAAAACGGAAATGAAACAGGAGGAGCCCAAGAAAAGCCAGGGTTTGGAGACAGCTCTCCAGACGCCACGCCTGGTCCTTTCCCTGCCACATGGCGATTCTGCTGTGGGAAGACGCGTGGATGTCATGATGATGTTGTCCTTGGTGGCTGCCATCATGGTGACTCCACATGCACAGGAGAACTGCCATGGAGGGTTTTCTAGGCTGCGATCCTTACAGGGAGCCCTGGTGGCATAGAGGTCATGCATTGGGCTGCTAACCACGGGGTTGGTAGTTCAAAACCACCAGGCTCTCCTTGGGAGAAAGATGGGTTTGTCTACTTCTGTAAAGAGTTTTCGGCTCGGAAACCCACTGGGGCAGTTCTGCTCTGTTGTCTCAGGTCACTATCGACTGGATGGCAGTGAGTGAGTGAGTGAGTGAGGGAATATCCACACAAGCACATCTCCACGTCTTTCTTCTGAGAAGCCAAGCACCTCACCATTGTTCTCCCTGCCTCCTTTCATATAATGACAGACCATTTTAATGAATTCAGTTAGCATTGCAGACCCTTGACCCAAGGATTGTTATGGAAGGTATATTTGTCTTTCAGTTTTTGCCTGTTCAGGTACCTGATGAGGAAGAAAAGCGAGATCCTGTCCTTTTTGCCCACAAAGTCCGGAATATCATGGCAGAGTAAGTTTCTGTATATGATTATAATCTGCAAGCGATTTGAAAATTACTGGTGCATTGCATTTTACATCATTTTAAGGTTTTCCTTGGGGGCATGCCCCACCACATTTGGGTAAGTAAAAATAACATGCCAAGGAGTATGCCCAATCAAACACTCGATCAATATTGTCCATGGCTAATGGATGATACTTACAATTGTGGGGTTTATTAAGGAAATAAAAGATTACAACTCAGGATCAGAAATGACTCAGGATACAGATCTGTGATCAGCACAGCCTCTTCTCCGCCATGCCTGCAGGCAAGCTTCTCTCTGGCCCCCAGCCTCTCACAGCTCCTGAACCCTTGCTGTCTGACCTGCTCAGACAAGTGTGACCAAGCCCTTAGAGCACTGCCATTCAGATGCTCGGAGGCACCACACTTCCCGAGGAAGCCTCAGCCCGAAGGTGCTTAGCCTTGAGCTCCTGGGCTCAGTCTCCTCTGCCACTGCTGTGCTGCCACTTCTTTTCCACTGCTTATTACTGTCACTCCCCACGTCTAGTGTCCCAGCTCTCAGTCCTGTTCCAAGGAAGTTCAGTACAGAGATCTTGGGTCCAAAAGATGTGTTCCACTTGTGACTCTTCATTCCATGGTGGTAGTGAGATTCTTTTTTGACTTCTGGGATGGCTCATTTTAAGTTTAATGGGGTAGCAGAGCTGACCAGGTTAGTGTCCTATACACCTTATTTGCCTGGCCCTATACCCACAATAGTGCCGTGCATCTTACTTATAATATTAGCAAACATATCCGGTCCCCTGATTGGGCCCCAGGTACCTCACATTTGCTAGTTGACCCCATCATGAGGAGTCACAAAGACTGTGGCTAGAAGGGTCAGATGAAGATGTTCACCGCACCCTTTACCCATGTTGGCTGACATCCTCCTCCTGGCAACTCTGAGTTATGTGAGGACACTGAGGCTCAGAGGAATAAGAATGGACTAGATTTCAAGGGTCTGTACCAAAAATGACCCCAAACGTCCTATGACCAGCAACCAAACTGTTAGGTGATGCTATGTATTATTTTAGTCCCTAAAATATTTAAAAATTTTATTTCCATTTTATATACCCTTCTGCCAAAATATGTATCCATCAAAGAACAACCTAGTTATGGATAGGTGGGGGAAAATGCTTCAATTCTGATGGCACTCTTTAGAATGTCATGTTCCCAGCAGTGACACAGGGAAGTCAAATGTAGTTGCAAGCCTAATCTTAAGATCTGTGCTGGATATTCACAAATCTCAGGCTAGTGTAGAGGGCGCATTGTTGCATACTCTGTGCAGCTTTTCTTTTTAGTACTCCAGAGGGATTTGTTAGCTGCTTATTAGTAATTTTAACAATCGAGTTCACTCTCATTAGGTCCGAGGGGGAAGGCGATAGTAGAGCTTAAGCTCTCCTTTGAGCATGGAAGCCATGCAGGTTGGAAGAAGTGTTTGCCAAACATTGTTGTGTAGCAAGAAGGTGATATCCAGTTTTCCAGATCAGAAATCACAGATGACCAGAGGCTTGTAGAGATGCAGAGCCTATCATACATACAACCACCATTTCTCTGTTTACATAGTACATTAATAGGCATGCTTATTTTTCCTTACAATAACACTGTGAGTAAGTGAGGAAACATCATCCCTACTGATGGATGAGACACTCAAGTTATGTGCCAACTGGTATTTTCGAATTACTTTTCATAAGACTTAAGTCCACTATTATTATCATTATATTTAAGTCACGTAAAAACCTCACCAGCTGCAAAGACAAGTGTGTAGACATTAGGAATTTAACCCAGGGTGCAGCCAGTCAGTGACACAGTAGAGAAATGCATTTCTTGGTCAAGAGAAGTGAGAGGTTCTGGTTGATAATGAATGTTATTCTTGTGGTTAGCTTACTGACTCATAGCAACCCACGGACAACAGAATGGGACAGTCCCTGATCCTGAGCCCCCTGTTCCTTATGTTTGGGACCCTTGTTGCAGCCACTGTTCTCAAACCACCTCCTGTCGTGTCTTCCTCTTTTTCACTACCTCTCCCAGGGACTGGTCTCTCCTGACCACACATCCAAAGCACATGAGATGAGGCTTTGCCATCCTTGCTTCCAAGGAGCCTGCTAGCTGTACTTTTTCAGAGGCAGATTTGTTTGTTCACTTGGCAGCCCATGGTACTTGAAATATCCCTCACCAGCACCATAATTCAAATGCATCGAATCTTCTTCAGTCATCCTTATTCGGTGTCCACCTTTGACATGCATATGAAGAGACTGAACATGCCACGGGTTGGGTCAGGCTCACCTTAGTCCTCAAAGTAACACCCGTGCTTTTTCAGCACTTTAAAGAGGTCTTGTGCAGGAAGTTTACCTAATGCAGATTGTTGTGTGATCCCTTGACCGCTGCTTCCTTGAACATCGAGTGTGGCTCTAAGCAAGACGACGTCCTGGACATCAAGTCTTTAACATAATGTCTCTTTAACATAATGTCACCCATGGGGCCAGTTGTGAGGATTTCGGTCTTCTTTACATTGAGTTGAAATCCGTATTGAAGGCTGCAGTCTTTGATAATTCAACCGCAAGTGCTTCAAGTCCTTCAGTAAGCAAGGTTCTGTCATCTGCATATCACGGGTTTTTAATAAGGCTTCCTCCAATCCTGATGCCACGTTCTTCTTCATATAGTCCAGCCTCTCTGTTGATTTGCTCAGCATTTGGATTGAATAAGAATGGTGAGAGAATACAGCCCTTCACACGCTCTTCCTGATTTTAAACCATGCCATATTCCCTTGTTTGGTTCCCACAACTGCTACTTGATCCATGTACAGGTCCCCTTTGGATACAAGTAAATATTCTGGAATTCCCATCCTTTCAAGGCTATCTGTAGTTTGTTATGGACCACACAGTCCAATCCCTTTAACAGTCAATAAAACACAAACAAACAGCTTTCTGCTATTCTCTGCTTTCAGCCAATGTCCATCTTACATCAATAACGATGTCTCTTGTTCCAAGCTCTCTTCTGAATCGGGCCTGAATTTTCTGTCAATGTACTGCTGAAAACATTGTTGGATGATCTTCAGTACAATTTTACTTGTGTGTAATATTGATACCATTTTATAACTTGTGTGTTCTATTGTGCCTCTTTCTTTGGAATAGGTACAAATGCAGATCTCTCTTGGTTAGTTGGCCAAGTAGCTGTCTTCCAAATTCTTGACGAATAGGTGGTTCTAGTGCTGCATCAGCTTATGGAAACATATCGATTGGTGTTCCAACCATTTCTGGAGCCTTGTTTGTGGCTAATGCCTTCAGTGCATCTCGGACTCTTTCCTTCCATATCACTGGTTGTTGCTCATGTGCAGTCTTTTGAATGGTGGAATATTGAGGAGCTGTTTTTGGTCCAGTGACTCTTTCTGTCTTCTTTTAATGCTTCCTGATTGCGCAATACGTTGCCCATATTTTCAATATTGCAATATTTTCAATATTGAGAAAGGCTGGACTCCTTTCCTGAGTTCTTTCCATTTCAGATATGCTGGGCATGTCCTCTCATTTTAGCTTTCTAACTCTAGGTCCTTGCGCGTTTCATGATCATGCTTTGTTTTGTCGTCTCAATGTGCCCTTTGAAATCTTCTGGCCGGCTCTTTACTGCATCACTGCTTCCATTCCTGTTAGCTAATCTACCAGGAATAGCAAGTTTGAGTCTCCTCTGACATCCATTTTGACGTTTTCTTCCTTTCCTGTATTTTTAATGACCTGCACTCTTCATGTGCGATGCGCTTTCTGTCCTCTCCCAGCTCCTCGGATCGTCTGTCATTAGTGTTCAATGTGTCAAATTGGTCTTTGAGGTGCTTTGGTAATTGAAAAGGGATACACTCAGGTTCTATTTGGACTATCGTGGACTTGTTTTCATTTTCTTCACCTTCAACCTGAATTTGTATATGAGCAATTGATGGTCTGGTCCACAGGTGGCCCTTGGTCTCAAATTAGCTGCTGATATTGAGCTTCTCCATCAGCTCTTCCCATAGAGGTTGTCAGTTTGATTTTGTGTCTTCCGTCTGGAGGAGTCCATGTGTCCCGTCACATTCCGTGTTGTTGAAAAAGTATTTGTGTTTGAGAAGTCATCGTTCCTGTAAAATTCTGTCCTGCGATCTCCAGCTTCGTTTCTATCACACAAGCTATATTTTCCAACTATTATTTCTTTCTCTTTATTTCACATTTTTTGCATTCCAATCTCTAATAATTATCAATACATCCTGATTGCATGTTTGATCCATTTCAGACTGAAGACACCTTGGTAGAATTCTTCAATTTCTGCCTCACTAGCATTTTTTTAGTTGGTGCATACATTTGAATAATCATGGTATTGCCTGGATTTCCTTGGAGGAGGCTAGCTATGAGCCTATCACAGAAATCATTGTCCTTTTTGATGACAGATGTGGTGACATTCCTCATGAGTCTGTCATTTCTGACGTGGGAGACCATGTGGTTTTCTGGTTCGCAGTGGCCAGTCCTGTCCATTTCCGTTCACTGACACTTCAGATATTGATCTGCATGGGTTGCATTTCAGTTTTGACGACTTCTAATTTTCCTAGATTCATAGTTAATATGCTCCAAACTCCAATGACTAATGGATGCTTTCCACTGTTTCTTCTCACTTTGAGCCGTGCCTCACCAGCAAATGAAGGTCCTAAAGCCGTTAGTCCCAAGACTCCACTCCAGCATCGTCGACTCTGTTTTGAGAATGCAGTCTTTCCTCAGTCATATTTCTAGTGCCTTCCGACCTGGAGGCTCATCTTCCGGCTCTGGCTCCGACCGTGTTCTGCTGGTTTCTGAGCAATATTCTGCTCTTTTCACGAGGTGTTCTGTATCTGACCATGTACTGATGCTCTCCAGGAAGTGGTCAGCGGCTAATTCCTTAGCGGTGGACAGCCTATTCCTTCTTCATTGTCTGTTCTTAGTCTGCAGCTCTGCGGACACCTGTTCACGCTAGGAAAACCTCCTGGTGTTTGAAATGCCAGTGACATAGCTTCCAGTATTCCAGTACCACACAAGCCACTGCCGACTGACAAACTGACAGACAGGTGGTTGGGTTGAAAAGGTAGTGTTTTCTGTCTACTGTTGCTTGTTGCCTATATCAGGTCTAATGAACAACTACTACCTATTTGAAGCACTGAACACAGTTTGCCTTTTCATCCTTCTAGCGCTCTGAAAATACCAGTCACAGATCACACCTATGAAGATTGCAGACTGATGATCTCAGCAGGTCAGCTAACCCTGCCTATGGAAGCTGGGTTGGTGGAATTTACTAAAATTAGCCGGAAATTGAAGTAAGTATATATATAGTTTTTCAAATTTCCAGGAGCCCTGCTGGCATAGTGGGTTGAGTTGGGCGGCTATCGCAAGGTCCACATTTCTAAACCACCAGCTGCTCCATGTGAGGGAGACGAGGCTTTCTACTCCTGCAAAGAGTTACAGTCTTGGAAGCCCACAGGGCAGTTCCACCCCGCCCCTTAGGGGCACTATAACTCGGAATCAACTAGATGGCAGTGAGTGGGATATTTTCAAATGACTATAGTTTCATAAAGATTCCCGGACCCCCCCAAACAAACCCACCGCCATCCGATCAGTTCTGGCTCAGAGTGACCCTATAGAGAGGTTCCAAGGCTGTAAACCCTACAGGGGCAGATCGCTTGATTGTTCTGTGGAGCACCTGTTGGGTTTGAACTGCGGTCCTCATACTTTTCAACTCAACAGCTAAGCTACAGCGCCACCAGGGCTCCTTAAAGATGTCCAGAAGAAATCTTAAATCCTCTCTGTGTATGTTCTCTGGTTTTGTCAATGTTCAGCTCCGAGACACACCTGGTGTTTACCAGGGAAGCCAGGGTTTTGAATTTGTTTTCAACTAGCCCATCCAGTTTTGGTGTCTCAAGAGCCGGTAACTTGGAGATGGTGTGTATTGGTGACAGGAAGAGATTAAGAGGTAGCAGCTGTGCATCAGCATAGACTACCTCCCCCACCCCCTTTCCTACCTAGAGCTCTGCCACCTTCTTATGAGAAATCCTGCTGCCGTCGAGCCATCTCGGACTCACGGCGACCCACCTGTGTGTCAACACAACTGTGCTCCATAGGTTTGCAATGGCTGATCGTGTAGGAAGTTGATCACCAGGCCTTTCTTCCAAGGCACCTCCACACTGAAAACTCATCGCCATTGAGTCATTTCCAAATCCTAGTGACTCTAAAGGTTAGGGCAGAACTGCCCCTGTGGGTTTCAGAGACCGTTACACCTTCTGGGAGTAGAGCACCTCATCTTTCTCCTGCAGAGTGCCTGCTGGTTCCAAACTGCCAACCTCACAGCTAGCAGCCCCATGCCTGACCACTCCGCTGCCTGGGCTCCTCAGAGCCTCTAAGGATGCCCTCTCACGATCGGATAGCGTCAGTAGGTGGCTGACAGTGGTGTGAGTGAACAGAGCTCGCACGCGAAGTACGAGCCTGCTTGATTAGCGGCAGTTCTGACTACAGCAGCATTTAAAAACTGCCGGTGTTAATTCGTGCCATCAAGCCCATCCCGACCCATTCCAGCCTGTGCGACAGAGTAGAAATGCCCGGCAGGGTGTTCTTGGTTGTAATCTTTAGAGGAGCGGTTCACAACCTGTGGGTCGTGACCCCTTTGGGGCAGTCAAAAGACCCTTTCACAGGGGTCGCCCAATTCATAACAGCAGCAAAATGACAGTGATGAAGTAGCAACGAAAATAATTTTATGGTTGTGGGGGGAGGGGCGTCACCACAACATGAGGAGCTATATTAAAGGATCACCGCATGAGGGGCATGAGGAAGGTTGAGAACCATTGCTTTAGAGATTTCCAGATCTTCTCAATGGAGCTTCTGGGTAGATTTGAACAGCCATCCTTCCAGTTAGCAGCTGGGTACTTACTCATTGCCCCATCAGCTCCTTATAAACACCCTCAGTCTACCCCTTTTCCTTTGCATACCTAATTAATAAAAAGAAAGAAATCAAGGCAGGAACACTCTTTTGCGTTTTTAAGATCTTATTGAAACGTTAGAAAACATTGCCTTGAGTTGTCAGGTAGGAAAGCCCCCCTCTTCTGTCAAAATTCAGTAATAAGACATTATACCTTGATAACTGAGATATATATACATATATATACACACACATATATATATATATATATATATATATATATATATATATATATATATGTGTGTGTGTGTGTGTGTGTGTGTGTGTGTGTGTGTGTGTAAACATTGAGCCTACCTGCTAAATAACAAAATGTTTGATGGGTTCCCAATGCTCTGGTCGGTTTGAAAAGTTGAGGGGGATCCCTGAACTTGGACACAGAAGAAGCACGTGTTATGTCGCTGTAAAAACAGTGTGGCAGCCAAATCTCTGTCTCTGCTGTAGCCATGAGGCGGAGGTCAGACATGCCGCCACCCTCTGCCCTTTACTTATTCTGACCCCAACCGCTTTGCCATGGCACTTTTCCATGCCGGCCTGGACAGTTCATTGCACTGGCCACACAAAACTGACAGACAGCCCTCACCATTAGGGGATTTTTTCAGGGAACTTAACAGATTACCACAAGCCAACAGTAAGCCACTGGTCCCCATCCACATCTCTCCTCAGCCAGCAGCAGAGACAGCTGGCTCAGTCAGACTTTGCTCACAGAGCCACTGCCAGGTTCCTTGCTCACCCCTGCAGGCGCTGTGTTCCCGGATCCCAAATCTTAGAGCCTGCAGGCTCTGCCCTCTGGGCCCAGCGATCTCTGAGGCTGTGGGGCTATCTACAAGGGTGAGGCTGTTGGAAGCCTGGCCACACCACAGTCCCCCCAAAGCAGAAGCCCAGTTCAGCTCACTTTGGATTTCAAGACACGTGCATGCATCTCTTCCAAGTACCATCTCCTGCGAGTGGCTGCAAGAATGGGCGCAGTCATATGAGCAATGGGAAGGACAGCACAGGCCGAGCCGTGTCCCCAGCGGTTGTGTGCAGTGTCATCCTGTGCCGGAACTGACTTGAGAGCCCCAGGCAGCAGCGTGCCTCTTCCTTTCCTCTCTCTGCCCGCATCCCACCTCACAGCAGTTCTGAGCTGATGGGCTTCCTGCCGCAAGAGCTGGGAGCCCAGCACAGTGAGTCACTGGCTCACTGCTGCCTGCGTGTCCTGAATCCTGTCCCAGGCCGCAGCTGGACACTGCCCCCTGCCAGACAGTGGGTGCAGAAGGAGCAGCAGAGCCCAGCTTCCCACAGACGCCCCTGGAGACTCTCCTTCAGGGAGGAAGGGGACAATCCCCAGATGCTGCCGCCATGCCCATCACCCTCGTTAGTGCACACAAAAGACAGACAGTAGATTATTATGATTGTTTTACTATTCTTTCTAACTATGAAGTGTTAGAAATTTAGATAGTCGAGAGGCGGGGAGTAGGTTAAATATTCAAATTTGCTTTCTTACTTCCTCTTCATGAATCACTTATTCTGTGAATCACAACTACATTGCTGTTGCTGGCTATGTTTTTTCCCTTCAGATATTTGATATAATAAGTTAAAAAAATAAGTGCTTATGTACATATTAAATATAGTTTTAAATGCCTGCTTTATTTTCCTTTCAAATATAACACCAGATATTTTCCCCTTTGATAAATGGATAAGCTATGAGTGGGGGTCGTGGAGGCCTAAGCGCTAAGTGTGTATCTGCACTGCTTTGTTGGTTTAGACTGGATTGGAACGGCATCCGGAAGCAATTGGATGAATATGCAGCTATTGCAAGTGCCTCAAAAGGAGGAAGAATTGGAATAGAAGAATTTGCAGAGTATCTAAAGTTGCCGGTTTCCGATGTCTTGAAACAACTTTTCGCCCTCTTCGACAGGGTATGTTCACATGTTATCTGAAGCATGTACATGTTTTCTGTCTGCAGAGCATAAACCAGTATGTCAGGTGTCAGACGAAGACTGGACCCACGGTCTAATCATTACCCTTTTCACTGTAATAATAATGTGTGCGTGTGCGACTTGGGTGGAGTCAGATCTATTATCTTGTTCTTTTTGTTTGAGTTTTGTTCCTTGGCCTTCTGTAGCATTTCAAAAAGTATTTTAGAATATTCTATTTTCTCTGTTGCCTTTTCTCTTTGAATGACTTTTAAGTGGTGGGTCTGGGGCACACAGTAAATACAACTCACTTTTGGAACTCTGGGTTCTTTTCTACAAGTTCAAGTCGAACCCGGAAGCCTTGCTGTCCAATGGGACTCTATGTCTACACTGGGTTGTGTTTCACATTTCCTTGTTTTCCGTCTTGTCCATTCCTATTGACGTTCCAGATTTACGTCAGATGTCCTTTCCGGCCGGGCACTCGGATTTCCTGGGGCATGTATTGTAATGCCCGTCTTCGGGTGACAAATTCTCTTAGCTTCCCATCATCTGAGCACGTCTCGTTTCACTTTCATTTCAGAAGACAATTGGAGTGGTGCCCGGATTCCTTTCTTTCAACCGATTGTCAGGACCCCACGGTCCCACCACCCGGCGGGCTGCCCTCGGCGCTCCCCTTGGTGTGCTCTGATGCCCACCGGAAGTTGCTTTTTTCCTTCAGAGCTTTTGGAGCGATGGTACCCAGAGTCCCATGTGGTTCTCTATTGACTCCCGGAAAAAAGGTAGTTTTACAAAGAAAGTATAGGTTGGTGACAGAAACCAGGACAAGTGTCTGTCTCTGAGGCTCCTAATCACTGATTCTGTGCTCTCCTAAGTGAGCTATTATTTAGCACGAGACTGTTCAACATCAGTCTTCTATCTGTAGTGCCCCCACCTCTCTTCCCGGCGTTTGCTTGCTGCATACAAATCATCTCCCCTTATCCACGAACTCATAAGGCATCATTGAAGCAGGATTACCATGCAGGGTAAAGATGTTCAAATAGCTATGTTTATGGATTTCAAAATGACAGTGTGCATAAGAAATTCGGTTCCGTCGCACAATTACCATACAACGTGCTCGGTGAGAGCAGTTGCCAGAGTCGCAGTGTGTCGATGAGGCTCACTAATCCCAGTCCAGATGTGTCGTGTGCAGTGACCTGGCTTTCCTGTCCCCTTACTCTTTCACCTTTGTCGAGGAAATGTGGATGATGGGGTCTCACCCAGATGTTGTTAAAAGGCACTCAATGTCACTGCCGGTGACGGTCTTTATTTTATGAGCCAATCTGTTATTTAGGAACAAGGTGGCCTCAGGAATAATTGCAGGTTCAAGGTGTAAGGAGTAGCTCAGGACAAGTTCTTGGTGAATCCTCTAGGCTCCGCTGGCCTGGGAAGACTGGGGTTTTTAACCACTTAAGTTCTCTTCCGTAGGGTCTATCAATGGTGGCCCTGGTCAGAACCATCATTCGTGGGCACCAGGTGCCATGTGGTCTCAGGGGTTCATGTACAGGCTGCTTAGCTTAGCTTCTTCTCTGAGCCTCTGGTTTTCTTGTTTCTCTTCGCCCCAGCCAAGAAGACACCACCAGCAGTGTCTGCGATGCTCCATGAAAACTCGAGGCAGGAAGAAGTAAATTATTGGGCATAAATGTGCAAGGGAGAAGAGCAGAGTCTTTCTGCGAGTTTAATCTGCCATCTTGCACTATGGCTTTGGAAGCCATGCAAGTAATGTGAACTCAGGCCTCTATAAACACGACTCTTTAGCCAGGAAGGAATATGGCGGGGGTGCATAAACAAGGAGGGGAGGGGAGGAAATGGGAAGGGACGAGAACGGACACAGGGGGGGAAGTTTACAGCACAACTCAGATAGCACACTCACTGGATTCTTCTTCAAAATAGGAAACAACAGCCAGGTGTCAGGCCGTCCCAGAGGGCAAGGTGTCCCAAGGTGGTTATGACACCAGCTCTGCCTTTTATTCACAAAGGACAACCGTCAGCGGCCCCATGGTTTCAAGCACAGGCCAGTTTGAGAGAGATTTGGGAGTGGAGAAGAAGCCTAAGGCAAGCATTAAAGGAGCCGCCCCGAAGGATTTGCCACAGTGTCCTCACCTGGTCCAGCTTTCAGCCCCTCTGTCTCCTGATAAGGGCAATTGGGTGCCTGAGCCAGGGCTGTCTGAGCCCCTGCTTAGCCAGGCTCACGCCCAGGCAATTGAAAACTAGGGAGATGTTAGCCAGTGTGGTGGTATGCCTTTTCCCATGGATGCTTCCATCCGCTCACACCAAATCTCAATTTCCTGCCCTTCTGTGCCTGGCGTGGCTTAGCTTTAAAGGTAGGCGTTAAGCTGGCCCTCCAAGAGTTTTTGTTTTTGATCTCCAACATGAGAGTAGTCTGAAAACCGAATGACGAATGTAGCTCACCTCTCTCTCTCTCTCTCTCTCTCTCTCTCTCTCTCTCTCTCTCTCTCTCTCTCTCTCTCTCTCTCTGTGTTATCTCTTTCTGCTGCTCCCCCCACCCCTCCCGCCTGTACTTGAAACACACCGGCATGCCGGGCCTGTGAAGACTTGCCTGGCCTTGAGGAGCCGGATAGTACAGCTGTTATTACACCACGCACAGACCCGGTCCGGGCTGGACCTGCTTTCTTTTCTGTCTCTTTAAGTTGTGTGCTGGGGGAAGCCATGAGGTTCAGTGCCATCACAATTGTTTCTCTCTGAGTAACTTATCTCCCTGAATTCAATGCTTACTGGGGCTGCGGAGGAAGAGGGTGGGAAGAGAAAGGGTGGGGTGTTCCTGTTGCTCTTTAAGTGGCTATCAATTCTTGCGGGTCAGACTGTCCCCAGGAGCCGCTCCTTGTCCCTCTGCGCTTTCTCCTCGCCTCCCTCCCCTTCCCAAAGTGAAAGGCTCATCCTGGGAGAAACGGAGGAGGTCTGCCCGTTCCTATAAGGAGCGACAGTCTTGGAAGCTCACAGGGGCAGGCTGGTCTGGTTTTTGGTGTCATGTGCTTGGAGTTGGTGCTTGGAGGTCAGGAGGGGCCGACTCGCCACTGTTCCCTCCCTCTCAAGAGTGCTTGTCTTACCTACAAAAACATCCCCTCAATTTGTCATTTTTTAAAAAAAAAATTGCCCTTCATGCAGCTCCTGACACGTCCTTTCAGTCATGCAGCTACTGGAGGCAGGCACCCTGAAGGCTCTACAGAAATGTGGCCTTGACCCAAAGCAGGCCGACGGCACTCGCTGGACTAAGCCTTTCCGAGGGTCACTAGGCGTTGGGCTCCACTCGAGGGCAGGGAGCTTGATTTTAGGGTGATCTCAATCTTCACCGTCATTTAACTTTTCAAGTTCTTGCGACTGTGCACTGCCCTCCACGTCTAGGCAAACTAACTGGCCAGATGTCCAGGGGCATTAGAACCGAGCAGAGATGATCCTTAGGCAACGGCTTCTCAACATTCCTCATAAGCCTCCTTTTGATCAGCAGATGTGCCGGGATTTAACAACCCATAACAGAATTAAGAAATAACGCGAGCTAACTCAGCACGAATTCCCACGCAGTCATTTCTGTTGAATGACGATGTCCAGCCAAGTCCACAAGGCCTCGTACCTTTGTTCATTTCGTCCTCCTTGACCACTGCGTCATTGGGCAAAGACCTCAAATAGTTCAGTGAAGGCATGATCTTGATTGCTAGCTGGACAAGTGGGGCATCCACCATTGCTGAAGAGATAGAGGAGCTCCAGCCATATCCTGGTACCCGATCCACAGTCTGACCCAGCCGGGGGCACTTGAAGTCCAACCATCATTAGCTCTACATCTATGACAGATTCAGGTTACCATTCCCTACCACCACACGCAAGTATGGCCACAGCAGTAGGCCCAAGAGGACTTCAAAATGATCAGGGGAAATTCCATTATCTTTTCCTTCCATGTTTTTCACCAGCTTAAAAAAGCCCGCTTGTATAATCGCTGGTAGCAAAGCTGAATTTCAGGGGCTAGCAAACACCGACTTTGGACATATTACAGGAGTGACTAGTCCCTGGAGAAGGCCAACCGGGGCAGAGGGGCAGTAACAAAGAGGAAGGGCTTTGGTGAGCTGGATTGGCCCCGTGGTGGATTGGCAGCCATGCGGTGCAACCTAAGAACGAGGGTGAGGATGGGGAAGGGCCGGCAGAGTTCCGCGCCTTTGTGCGTAGGGCTGCTATGAGTCAGAACCGACCCGCTGGCCCTGGACAGCCACCAAGAAGCCCCTCCGTTTCCTCACTGGAGGCAGAACTGGGTATCAGGGCCTGCACACCTTTGTTGGAGAAGCTCTTGTCGTCATCGTCGTCGTGTGATGATGAGTTGGTTTCAACGCATAGCAACCCCACGTGACCAGAAAGCCGCCCAGTAGGGCTTTCCATTTCCTCTACTGGACTCTTCCCAGGAGCCAAGCGCCAGGCCTTGCCTCCGCAGAGCCATCAGGTGAGCTCAGACGGCCAGTCTTTCAGCTAACAACTCAGTGCTGCTTGGCGTCACTGCCCACCATTAAGTAGATTCCAACTCTCAGGGAGCCTATAGCCAGAGCAGAACCGTCACAAAGGATTTCCTGGACTGTCCTCTCTGCAGGACCACATGGGCAGGTCTTTTCTTCCTCAGAGCTTCCGGTGGGTGTGAACCACCAATGTTTTGGTGGTAGCCCCTGCAGCACGAAGGCTCATTATATCTTTTTGGTTTTGTGCGCCATATAGTC